TTTTTTTTTTTTTTTTTTTTTTTTTTTGGTACCAGGGATCATCTTTGCACTTGTTAAGGTTCCACTACCTAGTGGAACCACTGGGCTAAATCCCTGGCCCTCCATCAGCTTTTAATTTTAAAAATATTTAGTCCAAAGTTTTGTTTTTGTTTTTGTTTTCCAAAAAAAGTTAAGCCTAAAAAGCTACTCTGCCATAACCCATGCTCCTGATTTTCTTAATCTTTCTTCCCCAGATTAAGGATCTGTGCTTTTCTAGATACAGATACAAAACTCTGACATCCTAAATCAAGAAATCGTTAAATATATACATTCATACATCTTAAAATATGCCTGAACCCATAAGAGACTCATAAAACCAAATGATTGGAATCTAAATAGTGTAGAGATCCTGATTCAGATCTAGTATAGACTGATCAGTCCATGGCTTATTTTCAGCTCACTATTAGAATAACTATAAAGTTACTCTTAATTTCTTATGACTGAAAAATAAAATGTGAGATTAGTATGTTGTATTTTCCAAATTAATATGACATGATAGTGTTTATAATGAGATGAGAAATATCAAAACTGGCTTTCCTCACAATACTATTGTTTTATGGTATTGTTATACTAATAGTTGAGAAGCTCAGTGTATGTAAGCTCCATAATGATTTCTTTAAGCTTGCTAATGTTGAAATCCATTTCATTCAGTGAGTAGATTAGAAACAAAATGAAAAGAATCATACATTTTATGCCCCTTTCTCCACCCACCTATTTTCAGCCTATTTTAAAGTGCATATTCCATTGTAGGAACTTGATGGTATTAAAGCAGATTGTGGTTTTTTACATTTCTTGTTCTGTGCTTGACGGAAATATCTAGCACTATTTGGTATAGAGTATTTCTGTTTACTTTTATGCCAGTGGAATGCTCTTAAATTTTACTGAGGTTTTTTGTGACAGAAGAAAAGTAAACCTTTCCATTTAGCCTTGTGTTTCAAATTGCTTCATATGTTTGCAGAGTGTGAAGTGATGACTTACAGATTAACACCTGCAGGTAGGTGGCTATTTTTTGTACACAGTGTTTGCACATCAATAATAAGGTTTTGCAATCTTGTTCTGAGTGCTACTAGAGAAGAAAGGATGTAGCAGCATTTATTTTTCTGTCCTGCAGTTTTCTGATGACTGTCCTTGGTCCTCAGTGAACATAGAGAAAACAGTACATATCTCTCTATTCCAATCAGTTCTTGACTTCTAACCTTAGATCCCCAAATACTGCCTGGCATGCATATCTCTCTATTCTAATCAGTTCTTGACTTCTAACCTTAGACCCTGCAAATACAGCCTGGCAAAGTCAAGCTGTTTGAATTGCATGGCTGATTGTGACTAGGTAGCTGCAGTCAATCACATTCTGTATTATCCCCTCATGCTTCTGTGACTAAGGTATTCACTTCTTATCTCACTTTTCTCCTGTGGTTCTTTTTGGGTGTAGTGTTTCTTTAATGCCAGAAAAAAATAATTCAAGGATATACTGAGGCTCAGGAAAATCTAAAATTAATATAATAGTTTAGCAGACCATGAGTGCTCATTCAGTCTTAGGCTTTTGTGTATGTAAATTGCTATCTAGAGCAAAATAACTTGTTTCAAATAACCAGTTGACAGACCAACCTAGGATTTTTTATTCAGTTTTTGTCTTGTTTTTATGGTGATGCAGATTGAACTCAGGGCTTTTGGTCCAGTTTGGCAAGACTGTATACCACTGAGCCATGTCTTCCACCCAATCCTAGGCTGTTCTTTAGCTCCTCAGACCCATAAATTCTACTTTTGGTTAACTTTAAAGCAGAGCAGCAGCAATTGTTTGTTCGTTAGATAAATAATTGCCCATACATGCCTTCATATTCCTCTGCTCTTTATTCTTAGCCTAAAAGTCTTGAAGACATGTATTCCACTGGTGCCTGTTCAGTGTCTTCCACCTGTCCATTTACTATGACCTACTTTTCATTGTGCATGTTTCTTTTACTACCACAATCTCATTCCATACCAATGTGCTTCTTCTACACCAATTGAAAAATGAGCAAAGATTTGAATATCTAGTAGAAAGCTAAACAAAAGCTGCTCATGGTGGTGCACTCCTACAACCCTAAGTATTGGGAGGCTGAAACAGGATCCCTTAACTCCAGCAGTTCACCTTGCCCAATATGGGCAACAGAGAGAATCTCCTATCTCACAGCTCCTTCACAAAATGTAGTAGATTTACTGTTGAATCTCCTCTGCAAATGGAGCTTCTGCATTTTTCCTTGAATTTAAGTCTCATTCCAGTATACCTAGAGTTAAAGAATCGTGTACCATGTCCATAACTGCTAATTTTGAAATTTCTCACTATCCTCTTCCATCAATACAGACTTTGAAATACATACCATCCACCCACATGACCACTACAGCTCTGCATTGCTTTTCATCAGTGTCTTCACCCTCCTGAAAACTGTCATCTTTCTCTTTGCTGCCTTCCACCCTCAGTGTTACCCAGTATTTATTCACCTTAAAAATTGTCTTGATAGGTCAGCTCATCTTTTACTCCACTTTGTATTAGTGACAGGCCAGTGGAGAAACATTTTGTCTTTGATACTTACTCTTCCTAGATGAGAAGTCCTTATCTCTACCTTTTGACTCTTCCTGGAGCATAACTGTTCATTCTTTTTGTCTTTAAAAAGTCTAGGATAGGGTGGAATTGGTGTCCTGAGCTTCCCTTTCTTGGTTGTACAGTGAGGAGCTCTCATCTGTGCAGCCTGCTGTAGTCCATGCAGGTTTTCAAAGTCAACAAGACTGCCACAATTGTGGCACACTACAAAAGGGCAGCAAGCTCATCGAGGTGAATGGGCATCACTTGGTGATCAAGCGATGTATGCTGTAATACAAGTTACTGGATCTTGCTCTGCTTCTGAGGAAGTGGCTTGCAGGTGTAGATTTCTGAGTCCATGTGAAGGCCATCAGTTATGCTTTTCTTAGTTCATCTCTAAAGTCCTAGTAGCCTGTTACCGGAAATGCGTGGATGAGGCATCCAAGGAGATCAAAGACATCCTCAGTTCAGTATGCTCAGACCCTGCTTATACCTTATTCCCCTGTCATTTCAAGTCCAAAAAGTAGAGACCCTGTTGCCCATGTTCACTACTAGAAATCCCACCACTAATCCCGTCAGGGGATCAGGGTTTGCCTTTGTAACAATTAATATGGTATTTCAAAGTTAGAAAAGTTTAGAAATCTATTTCTTCAGTTCTTTACAGTATCTGTTACTATTAAATTATTTAATTGACAGCTTGTAAACCTAGTAAACATTTTAATGAATACAGTAACAGTTATAAAGTGTTGAGTGTGTATAACATTATTTTCAATGTAATAAAAATATATTACCTCTAATTCCACATCTTACCTAGTTTCAATTGTAAGAACTTCAATTTTCTCTTTAATATTAGAAAATTAATGATCAAAGAAATGAAGGGTGAATAGTCACATTTCTGACAACACTTTCATTCTTATGT